AGATCGTCGAGATCTTTCCCTATGTTCGAGAAACGTTCTTAAATTTAACGTTACTTTCTTCTCAGTCTATATACTTTGCCTAGCATGTACGTACGAAAAGCTATAATTCTAGAAATAACGTGGCGGCTGCACAGCACGTTAAAGACGTTCTCTGGTCCTTCTAGAGAAAATCGATTTTCTTAGGATTTTCTTGAAACCGTGAATATACGTTAATTTAGGTGTGCTTTATGCGTGGTATAAATTTCAGTACCTCTTCCGGGATAAAAAATCAAGATACTGAGCCTCAAAGTTTTAACTTTTACTAATGAAAAGGTTTTCCAGGTCAAACGGTAAGAGATACGAGGTTGGCCAAAAGGACCAAAGTTGCTCCTCTCGTCGAGTTCTATAAGAAAAAAATCCAAAACTAAAAAAAATTAAATTTAAAATTTTTTTTTTGAAACTTTGAGGCTCAGTATCTTTATTTTTTATCCCGGAAGAGGTACTGAAATTTATACCACGCATAAAGCACACCTAAATTAACGTATATTCACAGTTTCAAGAAAATCCTAAGAAAATCAATTTTCTCTAGTATAAGGACCGGAGAACGTCCTTAAGGATATGAATCCAAATCCCGAGGTTACCATGGTAACGAGAATGTAAATGAAAGCATCCTTTAATTCTTTCCCATTTTTTTATAATGAGATACAATAATACTCAAAGCGGTCGAAGGCCGCGCGACGAAAAAATACGTAGATTAATTTCCGATGCAGAAAGGTCAACGCGTGCGTTTAGCTAAAATGTGGCTGTTTTGATCTTCGTCTCGATCATCGAATCAAAATTAGAGCCGAAGACTTCCATTTATATAGCTATAAATGCGCGCGAAAATGCAAACCTTTACCCGAAGAAGTTAATGAGATATAATAATATATTATATATATTATATATAGGGTGACCACATATAATAACGAAAAATATTTTAATGGCAATTTTTTTTTAATTAAAATATATTTCTTTCCTGCAATAATTTAATCTCTAATTTTAATTAAAATATTTTGAATTTAAATAAAATAAAAATTATAATATAGAACTATTTAATTCTTAATTATTCTAAAAATTTTGGTAAAAAATATTAATAAATAAGATGCTCCATTAATCTTAAACTTTAATTCGTTAAAATCGCACGTGATTCTGAAGAAATCTGTTTTAAATTCGGAAAATCTGTCATTAAAATAGTTTTCGGTAATGCGGAGACACCCTGTATGCGCGTCGGCCTACCCAGTACAAAAACAGATCGTTATGATATTTTATTATACCACGGATTATTGTGTTATGTGAATAATTACATTTTATGTTGTTAACAAAATCGTAATATATGTATAAATATACATGTTTCTCTCTTCATATGTAAAGATACACAAATCCTCAGTCCTATATTACTCGTGCCCAAGCGTGGTGACTTCTCTTCATATACATGTGTTGCGCACGTGGATTATACACATTGTATATGGGACCTACAGTTTAACGCCGATTCCGAACGGCTATATTTTTTAGAGAATTTCTCTCTTGGCAAGACAATACTCTCGGTGATTTGCCATTGCCTTCCGAGAGGAGAACGAGCAAATATAATTTTTCTAGCTCTACCGGGAATCGAACCCGGGACTTTTAGCTCAATAGACCAGTGCGCTGTCTATTAGGCCACGATCTCGTTCTCGATACACAAAATATATATATATATATATATATATATATATATATATATATATATATATGTATATGTATAATTTATACATTAGCAACGTATCCACGTGCGTTATGTCGATATCTTTTTCACAGTTGTATCGCTCTTTCCTTCCTTAATTCTTTAAAGACCGACACATACATAAGGCTCGTTTTCAAACTTTATGTAAGACCCGTTGTGTTTTATAGTTTAGTAATAACACGATTGTTCAAGTTTCTCTCCTAATTTCAGCGATCGTTGAGTGATCTACGAGACGATCTACGATTTTTATATCAATAGTAAATTGCTGAGTGCAATATGTGTATAGTGAACAAAATTTTCGTCTATAGACTCGACGAGAATATTTAATTAATATAGATATTAGAGAGAATGACATTTAATAAAACTCCCGTCGAACGAATAAAAAGTGGCGTCGATAATTACGGGACACTGTGTATAATCGCGTGGAATTGCAGGCGATTCGAGAAGCAAGGATTGTTCGTTTGTCTAACTTATGAATTAATTATAAATTAATTAATATCGACTCGATTTTGGTATGTAATCGCTCTCTATTCTTGTTAGTTTATCTTTTAACATCTTAGAGAAATGGCGAGAAAATTCTCAAGCATCCTATAAAAGGAAAAAAAACACCCTATATCATCCTAGTTCGGCAGAATACTCTTCGCTATTGCTCACGAATGTACAATGATTGAAAAAGTTTTGAATGGCGGACCAGCCGGCATAGCAATTTAGAGATTTAGACGCGAAGACGAAAAAATGTACCTATTATTTTTGTACTTAGTTTTAATAAAGGTTTATATGCTTTTTTATAAAAAAAAAAAAAAAAGGAAGATATATACACATGAGACGCCTGATATTTAATCGATTGTATTCGAAATACCTTTGACTATTATACTGAATAATCAAGACAATTAAAGATATCAATACTTTTTGAGCACTTTGTGCTTTATTTGAATTTTCGTCCATAAATACATATTTGATTAAATTTTTGGAGCAATTTCGAACATTTTTTTATTACAGAATCCTTGTAGTTTTATGTCGAATATAAATTTTTGGGAAGAAACGACTGGATTAATTAAATAAATTGAACAAACAATTGCCAAATGTGATACATATTAATTTTTATTCAAAAAATTTCCAATTCAAAGAAATTCCATCAGATATTTTCGAATGTCAGACCGGATATTTTTGGAATACTTTACACAATCTTTACATTTTTACTATATATATTATCAACTGATAATACTGATAATATATAGTCAATAGAGAATGAACGAAATTGGCTACTATAAATTGGGAGTGCAATTTCACCATTATGCTCCTCGAGCAATAAACGGTTATATCAGTAATTAGCATAATAGCAATCAAGTTCACTCACCGAGCTGCATCAACACCGTACCATCAAGATTTTCTGGATCGGTTCGTATACTCTCCCTGGGATTGTCCATTTCCTCTCCGAAGATCTCGGAACTGTAACAGCTTGGAGAAACGGATATACATACTCGCGGCGTGCATGCTAATTGATAAAATAACCCGATTTTGTACTCACGATTTTTACTCGCTCTTATTTGAGTCTTCTTCAACATCCGTGAAATAGAGGAAACACGATGGCTGCGTTCAGCCGAACCTCTGCTTAGCCAAGCGAAAGGTAGCAATTAAGTGTAATTGGTTGGATCCAAAGGTAAGAACCAATCACATTCAGTTGCTACCTTTCGCTTCGCTAAGCAGAGGTTCGGCTGAACGCAGCCGATGACCGCAGGTCGCGCGTAATGGCCGACCAGTGGCGTCACTTGACGGCGGGAGATTCAAACGCGATCAACAATATTCGAGTGATTTTAATGTAAAAATCCAATATCTTAATAAGATAATCAGAGATAATCGAAATAATAAATTGTCATAAAATGCGCACCCAGCGCAGCTAATTATGGAACGATTTTAACCTGCATGTGCATATATATATATATATATATATATATATATATATATATATATATATATATATATATACCTAGTACGCCATTTGGTCGTACTTTCGTTGCACTTCACCAGGAAGATGAGCTCGAAACGCGCGGAGAGATTTTGATCGACCTCAGAGAAAAGAGAACTCGACGCCAAAATTCACGACATCGGGTGCATTCGGGGAGACGCTATTAACGCTATAAACGCAAACGCTATGAACTTCGTTCGAAGAGCCAATAGCGCGACAGCGATAGCAAGCTGCCCGAACGCAGCTTAAGCGCCAATAGTATTTCGTGCCTTACCTCGAAAATAATAGCGAAAATAGCGCGAGTGATGACGTCACGCTGCCTTTACAGTGACGTCATCATCGTATATCACAGCGCCACAAAGCGTCTCCTCGAACAGTTTTGGACGATAATTGTGCTAATAGCGTGCTCCCCGAATGCACCCATCGGCGCACCGCTACGGTAATATTTGACCAATCACAAAATTTGACGCTTTACGAGAGGCACGCTTCTCGCGCGCGAAATATCGAAACAGCCAACCAATCGCAGCGCGATTATTTTATCTAGAAATAAAGTTTGAAATTATGTACATTCTACCGGCAGGAATGCCTGGACATAATACATATACATATACATATACATATACATATATATCATATACATATCAAAATGTCCAATCAATGCCAGAAATATGATCGAAATAATAAATTAATCGTAATTACTTGCAAATCGAAGTATACAATTGTGTAATAAAACTGAAATTCAAAACTTTTAATCGTCATTTTCCGGAAAAAATGTTTCGTACATAATTATATATAAAATATACTTATATGTTTCCTTTATCTTGTACAATCTCTGTTCGTATTTTTAAAAAATAATAAGCATAATTGAAAAATTAAAAAAATTTTTTGCACTGTTTTACAAAAATTGAAATTGTGATTAAATTGTACACTATTCTATATATCATCGTATTTACATATAATTGTTACATTTATATATAATTATATGTGAAAATTTTTTTCCTTCAAACTTCACATTTTTGTAAAAAGAAAAAAACAATGCAAAAATTATCCTTTTGATTCTTTTTCTTATTATTTTTCTTATGTACGAACAACAATTATACAAGAGAAAGAAGATATTTATAGACATTTTATTTGTAAGTACATAGGTATATGTATGTATAAAAAATACTTTCCCGCATTTATTTCAAGTGTTAATAAAAACTGCGTAATACATTCGAAACATTCAAGACCATAAGGTAATATTTAAATTCGATGATTAAGAAAGTTATTTGTTTGCAGGAGGTGAGATATTTTAACTTTTAGCATTTAAAATAATTTATTTATCAATATGAACAAGAAGGTATTTTGCAGTAGACATTATCGACGAACCACGGTTAATTGTCGTTAATAACGATCAATCACTTCTGTTGCAACGCACGTGCACATACGAGCTTACTTTCGCAGATTCGCGTGTGAATTATTGCGTATTAATGTTACAAGAACATACGTGCACTATGCGTCATCGATAATCTATCCGTAAAACTAGAATACAAAATATTTCTCGAATTTCGCGCGAATCACTAAATTATCCGCGCACTTAAAAAAAGTATTCATTCGTGAAATCGAGAATCGCGAGGAACTTTCTCTCATTGTCAGTCCAATATACAGACCAAGTCAATAGAAAGCAAAACTAAACCTACACCTCCATCGAAGATAAAAAAAAACTGTTCTTTCGACGTTTGTTTTGCTTCCAGTGACTCATTCTGCATTCTGCATAATTTCCGATAAAATCATTCATGATGTGTGGAAAACCATTTCTCATTTACATTATCACAACTCAATTATTTGTAACAAGCTTTATTTGTATGATTTTTATAATAATCTTTCTATCATTTTGCTATAATTTTCTGTAATTAAACAAATATAAAAAAATAAAGGTTTACGATGCGTTTCTCGAGATTCTGATTAGATTTTGGCGGACTGAATATTCCGAATGACTCGCATTAACTAGATTTGCATAGTAAGTGAAAAGTTCCGTTTAGTATACAGTGTAAAATATTGTCAGTGGACGGGTCATTCGTCATAAATCGTTGAAGATATTTGCTTTTGGCAGCTCTATCGATTCAGGACACCAGTAATATGCAATGAAATTCCGAGTGTCAAAAGTTATGAATATTTGCAGAGATAAGTGCAAGTGTTTATCGGTATAAATTTAAATCATTTGATACAATTAAATCGCTCAAATATCGAAATAAAAAAGAACAATTCACGACTGTATGTACATCGTGCAACAGTGAAAATTATAGGGGAACCGTGTCGCAAACCTCTTTTTCGTAACTTTATTATCCAAAATTAAGTTTCTCTCGCGGCACATATAAATAATCAGCTCCGATGTGAGCTCCAAATATATTTTATTGTATTTACAAATCACAATTATAAAAAAATTCCAAAAGGCATTTCATTGTTTGGGAAACAGATCGTCTTGAGTACCCATTCTTTAGTATCGAATATAAAAATCGCATGAGACACTTCGCGTCAAGTATGTCCCGAGAGTGGCCCGGAGAAAGGCGATCCTGCGAGGGGGAAGGCGTGGGAATGGCGTGCAAGAAAAAAATATATATTTTTTATAGGATAGAAAATAGAATAGTACTTGGACGATCGTGCTCGCGATCAAAGTCTCGATTGAACGAAGTATCGAATGATTCTTCCGACGTGCACGGATACGGATACGGCATTTGGCCCGCTAAAGCGATTGCAATAGACGAACGCAGTAATAATATAACGCGGTATCAACACTTTGTATTCCGCGATTTCGGGCTCTAAGAGAGCATCTTGTCCTCGGGAATGGTCGGGCTGGTGACCGATGGAGCCGCGGATGAGCGCCTCATTGCCTCGGACTCTCGAAGAGCCTCGTCGAAGCTCTGCGTCGAGCCGGACCTTGAAGGCACAACTTTTGTCTGCGAAAAGAAGAAAAAGATTCAAATCTTTGAATAGAAGATAAAAGAAATTTCATAAATTAGTAATAAAAAAACATAAATTCAACATGCAATAAAATTTAAGTTATTTTGTTGATTTATTTAGTTTAAATTATGTACATTTAGTGACATATTGGAAATGGAAAATTTTAAAGCGCACGCGTTTAACATCTAACAAATTATAAAATAGTTAATTGGAAATATTGATTTAATACAAATATTTATTTGATAAAATAAAAAAAATCCGATTTAATTTTAGTTACCTTAATGTTCTCGCAGGCGGATCCAACTCTTTCCTCCAACGACCGGAAGCTATCGGAATTACGCATCTGGCCCAGTTTCATGGTAATGCCACTACCAAAGCCACCCAAAATACTAGTCGTCTTTTCAGCCGTGGATTTAAGTACAGATTCTGTCTTTTGGTATCTGATATGACAAAAAAACGAATATTTATTATTAAAACAGCAAAAATTTATGATCTTAATATAGATTATCTTCTAACAATAACTGCGTTAATTAATTTTTAATCGGCACAAAGCTTTTAGACATGAGATAAAGTAAGTGTTTGTTGTGTTAAACTTTGTTTTTGTTTCAAGCAAATATAATAATATTCTGTTAGTATAATAGCAATATTCGGATAGTGTTGATAGTTAAAATTATGAAAATTAAGATACCAACTAATACAAATTGTCTCCAAACCATTTGCCAAATTTTGTATTCGCTCGAGAATGAATATACTGCCAAAGCTTGAAGACCTATTTCAGAAGCACTCTATATAGATATATTAGCTGTATAAATTAATTCAATGCCTTTACATTTGGTGCCTTATAATTCCGTTTTAAGATTAAATATTTTTTCATTCTTTTGCGATTTGCAAATGTGAGCTTCTACGTTTTCAGAACACCAAATAACTTAGAGAACTTAAACGACAAAACCTAAATAGTATAGTAACAAACACGATGGTGTTCGAAAAGCAGCATTTAAAGCACTGCATATTTTTCGCATTTTAATTAAAAAGAATGCCGTTGAAGTCGCGAAAATGATTTAGTCTGTTCTGGATAAAGGTCATATGACCTATAAAACGTGCACAAAGTGATTTCAGAGTTTTCGAAATCACTAACGAGTCATTTTGCAACATGATAATGCTCGGTCATGCCGCAAAGGGGACAAAGGATGTCATCTATGCTTCGGACTGGGAAATTCTCCCTCATCTCGGATTATTTAACGGACTTAGCTCCGTCGGATTATCATCTGTCGCTTTAACATAACCTGGTTGATACACATTTCAAGACAGTGGAAAAGGTCCGAAAAAATCTTGAAGTTGAAGACTTTATCGATTCAAAACCGCCAAGTTTCTTCTGCGAGGATTTCTATTTGTCAGCTGCCCGACAAATGGAGCAAAATTGTAAAAAATAACAGATATTATTTCAAACATTAAACTTATATTTGATATTTTGTCAATAACTTTTCAATTTTGTGTAAAAAGGCACCGAATTAATTCACACACTCATAAATATTTATCGTTAATACGATGCAGAATACCGTTACGAAATGAATCGCGGCGAGGGAAAAATAAGACACTGTGCGTACTTACAAACTGTTCGCGGAGATAGTCCTGGTTAAACGACCAAATGTCTCGCCAACGTTCTGATAACTGAATGACAACCCAACCAAAAGTGAAAAAAATCATTGCTTCTACGTGTATCTAAAGAGTAGTGGAGTATCAACATAAAAAGAATGATCACCGTCGTTGCCTCGTGGAAATAAACACGAACAGACAAAAAATATGAAAGAAATGAAAATAAAAATTAGTAAAGAAATGAGAGATTTGAAAAACGCGATTCATTTCTTAAAAACCGCTAAATATTTTCGTAACTTTCTGCCATACAATATTTCACGAGTTTAAAGATATTTTGTTTGAAGTATTTTGTGGCGCAGTGGTTCTGTTATGGTTTACTCATCCACTTCTTCTTTATATATAAAATATAGTAGAGTGCATAGAGCATGTATAGCGTGTGTATGTGTATATATGTACAGAGTATATGCACAGACAAAAGAGCATGCAAAGAAATCAAACAAATAGCAGGATACATACACATTACTCTCTTTAACGTTCTTGAGCCCCTGATTGACATCGTCGGTGAGCTCCTTCCAGACGCTAATGCCAAGCTTCCTTTTCAGATCCTGGGAAACCTTGATCTTGTTAGCGAGAACGTGTCTCAGAGTCTGTATCTCTTCTTCAACCTGAAATCGATTTTTATTATTTTCCTTCCTCGGGATTTTTTTCCTGAGTCTCCAAGATTTACCTTTGCTAATTGAGCGCTCCATTCGGCCCTTTGTTGTTCTTGCTCCTCCAAGGAGAGTCCTTGAAGTTCGTTCGCCATGTTATCCGACGATGGCGACAGAGAGCCGGCCGAGTGAAGCGAGGCATCTTCTCCTGGAACAAAAAAGAAGAAAATTAATCTTAAGGTATACGATACCATGACGGTCATGCTGACTGCTCGGGAGGATCAGTTTTCTCGTTGGCAAGTTACGATTTAATACATTAGGATTATTATGTTACATATGGAAAGGTAACATTAACAGGATACACGAGGATACATAATTCTACCAAAATTATAATAATTCTCTGTAGAACAAGTAGATAAAATAAAAAAATTATTATAACATCTAAATTAAAAATTAAAATTAGAAATAAAAATTAGATCCCAAGACTAGAAATTAACATTAAAAATTAAGATCGAATACAGACATGACATCAGAAAGATATCTTATCTAACTCTGATTTGATACAGAGCAAATAAAATTTATTACATGTGTCTTCGCTTGCACACAATGCAAACACGAAAATAGAAATGTGATCGACTGTGATTTATCAATAATTCTCAGGAAGCAATTGCTTAAAATTTCTAACAAGCAATTTCGATTGTTCCGCTGACTTCGTCAGATTGAGAAGGAATGCGCCGAGTTCTGTAGTTTCAACAGAGCGAAACATCGTCCTAGAAAAATTAAAAGTGTGTTTCCACACGTCGCTGTACTCGATAGTGATTCCACGATCCTTTTTCATGTACTTTCACGTGTCGAGAAGAAATAAATCGACATCAAGAAGTTGCTAGATGTAACCGCATAATTTCTCACGTGAAAGTACACAATTATTATGCTAGAAATAAAATATTTAAGAGGATCCTAAAGCCGTCTGTAATACCGACAATTGTACTTTCCTCCTAACTTTTTATTGGCTTTATGGATTTGAAAAAATCTTGCACAGAATTAAAGTATGTGTTCTACTCTGTGGACGACTACCGATTTTGTAAAAAAATAAGTAAATAAAGCAGTAAAAAAAATCCACTTTTAACAATATTTGCTTCGTACAAAAATTCTACAATTTGATGTTACAAAATGAGGCTGCAGGGCCATTCAGTAAACATCAAGGAATATCATACCGTTTGTAGAATTAGGCTGAGACTCCAAACAAAAAAGTTATTTGGAAAGTACGATTATGTGAACGTGATGACACCGGACCAGCAGTATTGCGTGTAGCGAGAGATGGCGCAGCAATCGAACAAGGACAGACGCATTTCGTTAGACAAGGGCAGATATAGGCCGGTAATATAGAAAACGAATTAGAACGGAATTAAAAGTGTTGACATTATCGACATCGAGAAGAAGTTCGGCCTTCACTATAGGATCACTTGCGAATTTACGAAAATGTATAGACTCCTAAATTCAAAAAGTTAGAAGTCAAAAACCGAATGGAGAATTCAAGACTTTAAGATCATGCTTTTATAAATAAAATATTTTTGTAATATTCAACAATTTTGAAAAGTTTAAGTTCATGTAAATTCAATCAAATATAAAGTAACAATGTACAATATTCAGTCAATTATTATATAATTCTTGTACTCTAATTTGCCAAAATTTCAACATATTTAATGATTCACAGTTTTTTAATATTTAACGCTTTGATATCGATATTTTTGAGAACTCTAAACATCGTTGTCAAATGATTTAAACCTGATAACCTTTCTAATTAATTATAAAATAGCATTTTTTCGTTTATTTTCATCTTTGCACTCAATTCGAAATTCTTTCACTTTTAATTGTTGTAACTTTTCTGAACTTTTCAAACATTAAGTTTACGTCATTGATATGTACTTTCAAGACATTTCATCGAATTACTCACGAATGGATAATTTGATAGTTGCTCTGATTCATAAATTTAGCGAAATCCGTAACGATTTCTTTACTGTAAATTAATAGTGTAAAAGCGGTGAAACGATTTCTCTTCTCTTCTCTCAGCACCTTTTATCAGCTCGAGAAACTTCTTATAATTCTGACTGTTGCTGATCTTAGCGAAGTAAGGTTTGGAGAAGTCCTGGAAGATCACGCGGATCGATCGCTTTTTCTTCTTGCAGCCGTCACGTGACTCTCCCTGAAGCAACTCCGTCTCGACGGACAGGTTGCCGTCGTCCACGACGATCTCGTCGATCTCTCCGTTCGAGTCGCGCCAGCAGTGAACTACCAATTCGTCTACCTCTTCGTCGCCCAGTTCGTCGATATCGTCAAAACTCGGCGTCGTTGTCAACTTCAAGTAATACGCATCCTCTTCGTACTCCAACGACTCGAACTCGCGTTCATTCTCGCTTGGGCAATTCTCTTCGCTATGTTCCTGGCAGATTTTCCTGCGCGATTGGTTGGTTTTTGGATCTACAGATTGTTTAGGATTCGCCATATTGTTTTTCATGGTCTTTCCTCAGGAGACATGAGAAAGCTTGCTCTAAAATTCGACTCCAAAATCTTGGTCCAAGAAGAATACGTGTCACAAAGTTTGAAAAAGTGTTGAAGAAGATAAGCTTCAGAGTACTTCAGTATTGATCTTCATGATCTTCTTCAAAAGAAGCTTCTCCAAAGTTCGAGATCTTGCTTCCTCTTCAAAATCATGCTTCAAAATTGTCACTGCAAAGTCATTTTTCCAAATCTTGCTCCACTATTATCCAATAATTGCTTTAGAAATATATTTTGTACATAGGAAAAGATTCATCTATGATTTCAATTTCACATATTGCACATATCAAGAGACACGGCAGTGTCTCACGCCAAGTACGCGCGGAGCGAGACGCACCGTGACTCATTTACGCGAACGCACGAGTTGCGAGATTTTGAGATCTCAATATTGTACTGACCACAATTTCAACACAACCTAAGATTGAAGATAAAGAAGTAACGATTAAAAATTACAGAAACATGTTTTTTCTCAATCTCAGCGGAAACTGAAAGATTAACGTTTATCACATTTAATCGCTCACATCTCACTAACAATAAGAACGAGCAAATTACTCAGAATTCAAGAGCAATAACTTAAGAGTTTGTGCGATCAACTTTCCTTCCAATAGGATCGATTACCAGATCTACATCGCGATGCATGATTTACTTAACGACTATGCAATCCATGAACGCGACCACGTGCACCGACGCGTGCAGACACGACTAACAACTGTGTTCCTTGAGAACGATGCCGACGTTGCCGATCGTGAGGACACTACCATGTTTCTGAGAAATCGAGACGCTGTTCTCGCTCTACTTTAGCAGGAAACAAAGAGTGAGAGGGCGAGAGGAAGGGACAAGAGAGAAGAGGGAGAAGCAGAGGAAAGGAAAGGAGGGAATGGACAGGTGGCCTTGGTTCTCCATCGAGAAATGGAACTTAATATTGTAATTCTATGGTTTGGAAGTCCACGATTAAGAAGTAAAAGAAAAAGAAGAAATAGCGAAATTCGAATGACAGCTTTTAAACGGATCTATCATAAACTGTGCAAAAGAAGAAATATATATTATTATATTATAATTATTTATTTATTTATTTAGAGAAATGGCATATCAATCATTGTCGCTTGATTTTAGTTACGTCCTCCTTTAGTTGCAGTTTAGTTACCGTACTTTCTCTACGGTAAGTATGTATTCACGTGCGGCTGTACTCAGCGAGATTTGTTTGAAACTTAACACGCTAATTAAAAGACTCTCGCTAATTCTTGCTAATGTCTTACGCCCAATCTGCTCTCTACGGGGTGTCTTGAAATTACCTCGATACATATGGCATTTGCGATTTAATCCTCTGGCTGTGCGCGTTTCCGTTCGTTCTATTTAAGTTATAGCGGCAGGCATGAGAAATAGAAAAAGAGAAAAAATTATGTCCGATTCGGCGCTCTGATTGGTTCATCGACCTCCTCGGCGGAGTGCTCCGCTTGTTTTTGCGATCGATGATGAAAGCGCGGAAGCGTGGCGAAGATGTATAATAAAAGTTCCTGGAACTTTACGGAAACCTTTGGCAAACTGGTTTATCGATCCAATGGCGGATTCTTGTCATAGCGATATGTGTTTATCGTTAAAAACGGCGGTCTGAATTGGATTTAACTCATTGTCAGACATTAGATTAAAATAGGAAATATAAGAGTTTTGAGAAATTAATTTGTAACTTTAACACCGATTTTGTTTAATTTACAACAAACGTTTAATTTAAAATGTCCTTCTTTTTAACACCTTCAGTTAAACTCTTCCCATTTAATGTATTTATCTTTATTTTTTATTATTTTAAACTAAAAAAACTTAAGTAAGGTGCTTATTTTCAGTCGCTTACCGTTTTCATCTTTAATAGTTTAATTTCATATCTTTCCCTGTAGACTATATAAATCCTTCAACCTATGACTCGCCAAGATATTTCGACGTTATAATATAAAGAATTTTTTAAAATAAAAATATTTTATTTTTATATAATTTTCAAAAATAAAACTTATCCGGCCCCCGATCATCACAAAAATTTTTAATATGACCCTTTTGACAAAAAAAAGGAAACCCTGTAAACTACCGACTCTAAAAAATTATGAGCAATATATATTTCTCATCTAAAGTTTAGAAAAAAGTGTTTTTTCAGGATATAAGATTCGTACAAAAAGCATTTTTTTAGAATATAAGATTTCGTACGAATCTTATTAAGAATATTGTCAAAGGACATGAGTTGAGTTAACATAAGTTTGATTCTCTCAGATAAATAAATTAAAAACAAAGTGTAGGAAATTGACCTTCATCGGTGCAGCTGCACCCGTATTACAATCTATTCGTGTCAATTGCCTCCTACATTGCTTCATCTCTCTTCTATTCCTACAAAAATCTCACAAAAATCATCATGCAGAATTTCTACTATCACAATATCACGACTAGCGTTTATTTTATTTTAAAGGTATCAATTTTATCTAACAATAAATAATACGTTTTCAATGTTTGGAAACCGCCGAGTTCGATAAAAGTTTACTTATCGACGAAAGTTTATTTCCGAAATCACTTCATGATTATCTTTATTCCAAGAATAGGATGTTAACAAATACAACGCAAAAAGTGCGACAAATATCGACTTGACAGGAATTCGCGGCGAGTCGCCGGTAAAACACATATGTGCGCGTAAACACACGCACACAGAGGCAGGAGCGAGTTCACAAGGTCGTTGCTGGAAACGTCAAGATAGCGGGTGGCGCATAACCGCAGGTTAGAATTCGATCGAATTTCGTTCATCGTCCTTAAACCGGCTTTTCTCGGCTAATTTTCGTGCGAAAATTAACGGATCTGTCGCGCTTAATCGTAAGCGGAATAATTTCTCGATCGAGTCGGAGAGGATGACGAAGTCGATGATCTCACCTGTTGGTATGTTGCTCATCTCGATGGTCTCGCGGCGCAAAGTTTGGAGAAAAATGACGATTTTCGTTGACCGTGCGGAAAAGATCGGCGTGTCCCAGCGTCACAGATCAATTCACCAGGACGCGAAAAGTAACATACGTTCTCCGATACCGTAGAGAGATCGATCAGTTCCGTCACGACGGTGAACTAGCCAACTAGCTGAGCGCCGGCGGCCATATTGAAAACGCGGCTGCCAGTGGCGCTGTGTAGCGAGTGTTCGGCAAAACGTTAGGCGATTCGGCGGAGAAATTTCATGATATATAGCCTAATTCTAATATATGTATATTAATTGCTATAAATGACACTGTTACCACGTTTACGCGAACGTTATTTCTGTAGTAACTTACGATAATTCCTTCGCGTAAACGGGATTTTGTAGTAATTTACGATAATTTATTACTCAGCGTAAACAAATGAATTATCGTAAGTTACTACAGAAGTAGTATATATAACGCTCACACGTAAACGTAGTACATAAAATTTAGATGAATTAAAGATTTTATTTATATATACGCTACAGATGTGCGAACTATTCGAATGCGAATCAAATCGAGTAAGATTTGACTCGATTCGAATTTCTATAATTCGAATCTGAACTATTCGAAAATTTCGAATCTGGATGGATTGAATACGAATCATATAATACATTGTCAATTTTATAAAATCATATTTCCCGTTAATAAGAAAAGTATGATCATGTTAATATTAGGTGCATTCAATACCTATTATAACCGCGCCGCTCATTGAACGGCTAAACTTAATAGCAATCAAAAAGTTTATTTCTAATTTTTTACATGCTCAGTATATAGTCACAGGGCAAATTGTAAGTATAAATTTGGATATGCATAAAAAAATAGTAAGCTATGGATAATAAAATAAACTATATTTTTTAATTTTAAAATAATTTATATTATATTATATTATATTACATAATTATATTATATTATATATTATATTATATTATATTATATAATTAATATTATTTTTCTACATTGAAATATTCTCTTATTATCTATGTGTTAAAATTCAACTTAATAATTATTAATTAAAATAAGTTATATTTCAACGATTCGATTCGAATTCAAAAGAGGAAATAAAATTTAATTTGATTTGATTCGACATCTCTATAATACACGCAATATTAAAATTAATGATTATTTTATTACATAGTATTTTAAAATAACTAAAGAATGTAAATAAGATACTAATTTCATGATATTAATTTCATAATTATTCTTTATAAAATTTTCGATTTACAATTATAGGTATTGTAGATTAGCAAACGATTTTTAGATTTTTTACTTTTCTTTTTTTTTATTGTTCTTAATTAGCAAATTATGCTTTATATATGAGAAAGTTGAGTTGCTGTGGGCTTTTATTAGAGCTGCGGAATAGATATGGGGGCACAATAAGAATTCTTTTTTAACAACATTTATTTCTAGTATGCCTATATTGTCTATGTACAGTTACACATCGGCGTGATCTATGCAACGCAAACACAACGAGTTATTCCTACAAGCTACGTGCGCGATTTTTAACAATAATAAGGTCCTCAGAGGTGATGCGGGTGATTATCACCCGTAGGGTACGATCGTCGTCGTATAAATGATTTGCGTCGCCATTTCCTCGTGGAAGCATAGAAATTCTATTGGGTGTCAGATATGTGTATACTCGTATAACGTAAACTCATTCGCGATTGACGCGCTCTGACGTATACCTACTCTAAGACTGCGCGATTCCGTTTATCAGCCGAGAGTTATCGTCTGCAGACGGCGAACTTGGGCTGGAGAAGCACGCGCTACGATCAACTCGACGGACCGGTGGGATTATAATTCGAGGATCCGAATTCCAAATCATACCGAATCCCAAAAATACCATCCAACGAACATTCCAACTCCAAAATTATAAACCGTCGCGAAAAAAAGTCCTTTTTCTTCCCAATTTATTTTGCATCTTTCGTATCCGATCTCTCGCAAAATGCGTCTCTCATCGATTACCATGTTTTTTTTTTTTTTTTAGAAGAAAGAGGTTGCGATTGATTACAAGAAAGATCGTTTCCGACTTGTTCCGTAGTATGGTTTAGAATCTTTTGGAATTCAGATGTTTCTTATTCCACGATTTAAAACACATTTGGCTCTTCGAGAACCTCAAATTATTGTCGTCCTTCTTAAATTAAGCTTGTCAACGCACACGCAATACGCAACATATTTGTCTCAAGGTTTGCCCTAGGAAGCGTCTATTCGCGCAAAAGATATACATTCTACCTGGAAGCAGTAACGTAGTTTATTCAACAAATATATACTAGTAAATCCCCTTTACGCCTTTGACTCGCAAAGTTTTCAGCCTTTTTCTGAAATTTCGTTTCTCAAATCTCTGCGCGGGTCATATTTCCATCAGGTTCTCCTCAGCTCTAGTTTCCTTAAATCTGTGAACCTTATGGATCCTTGGCACCAAATTAATTTGTGGATCCTGAAATCTTATTTCTTCCCAACGCAGCGTCTCGCAGTGGTTAAAGTTCGGCGATTTTTTTCCCAGATTGGAAATTGAAAGTGAACTCAAACGCACAAAGTTTACGGTAAATAATTATTGCTGGATTAATTGGTATCGAAGCTATCGCGAAAAATCATTCTCGGCCCGTCTGACTTTGGTACAGGTGTATTATACAATCGCTGTATATTTACATGAAAATCTACAACATTCCTGCTCAAAGAGTCCGACAGAACCATATACGAAAGGAAATCGATCGTATTTTTTATATTTGCAATTTCAGATTTTTCTGTCTGATATATACCTTTAGATAAGTCTTCTACCTTCCACTATCTTGTTTTCACTGTTAAAAAATGATACATTCTTCCGATTTAAATTCCAGATTGCATTCTCAATCGATAAGATATAAGATTTTCTCTACATTTCTATTATGTATACAGTTTTGATATAAATATACAAGAATATTCTTGGATAGAATTAAGTCCGATTCTCATATTATAACGTCGGAAAAGTAATTTGATTGAATTGACAGATCGATAGAAAAGCGTTTAATACATAGATAACTATTTGTGATGGTTTAATTGATGAGAAACCTGGATTGAAACGATAGTCTGCGATGAAATGACATAGACTGTCCCTGAAATAAGTCACCCTAATTTTAAGGACATTCTATGTAAACTTTAAATCAGTTCTTGCCGTTCTCTTACTAATGGCTTCTTCAAGCAGGCATACTATGAGAGAATCGCCTTTCCGGTCGTCCAACTTGGCCTTTTATAAAAATAGTATCGGAGACAGGAAGCGCGAACCAATGATACAATCGAACGTTCGAAAGCTATACAAATCCTGATTTTCAGAGATTGGTTTTTGAATAATATTCGTTTGTATCTTCGATTCGCGTCTTTCCTACGTCGAAGAGTGTGAGAAATAAGTTCCCAGCAACTCGTCGAGTTCCAATTTTGGCGCTTGAAGAATCTCGTGCGCGCAATATTTGCATAATTACTTTACACAAAAACATTGATCTCTATAATGGCGTCTATTACCGATCTACGCACCTGTCCTCTTAGGCAATTTATTTGTAATTTTGCACTAACGACGCTTAATTGCCGATCCTTGTAGGTGTCGGTTAGATTAATGGAGGCTAATGAGCTGCGTCTTCATTAAAAGATGTCCTCGACATCGGTGTAATTACGGTCCCAATATCCGCCCAAGTATATCCAATCCTCCTGACCCGTGTAAGGATTCGTACCGGATTGGAACCATCTGCACATATATTTTCTAAATTACCAATCGCATTAAGAAATCAGAGATTATCAATCTCTAACTAATAACCCATTAAATACCATAATGTAGAATTTTATTTAAATCAGCTGTACTTTTTAAATACTTCAGATTAATAGTAGAAATAATTAATAATTTAATGTTTGAGATACTTAATACTGAAAAGGAAGATTATTATTTATTATTAACACTTCAATTTTAAGTCATTTGAATCGCAAGATCTTTTGAAAATTTAATTCGTGAAATTTTTGAATTAAGCTTCTTATTTCTTAAATATCAAATATGCTGTTTCAAAATAAATCAAGTAATAATACCTGGGAACATATTCGTTTCCTTTTTTCTGCTTGCGCGCTTTGCGGGAATTTCTCTGTTTTTCCTCAAGCCTAGCTTTATCGGACGCAGACCCATCCTGATCACCGTTCTCCAGCTTGCGGATATCCGGTCTCAATCTGGAATCGGTCGGGCATAAGGTTTCTCCCATATCGGGCTCCAGCTCGTTCAGTGACATTGCAAACGTCGTGAACTGATAATACTGCAAATTAAAGATTTTTACTCGCCAACTTGGCCAGTTAAGTCAATTAGAAATTCTTATTGCTAAAACTAATTAATTATATTTACTAGCGAAGCAAAGTTTCTGATTTGGTTAAATTATTTTTATCGAATTGATATATACATATACACATATATATACATATATATATATATACCCATTATATTATTATAATAGATTAATTTATTACTAAAATTCTTAAATTATATCTATATTTTTAGAACTTGAATAGAATTTTGCAAAAAAATAATCAAAATGTTTGAAGTGTCAATTTGATTTAACTAACATCCGAACTGTTGCTGGGTCTCGGCGTGGCCTGCCAAAGTGTGACAGATCCTGGAATCTCGTCCACGATCGGAATGTCGTCAACGAACGTACTGCCAAAGGGCTCCTCTATCGCATCCTGTAAATAAAAAGAATATTTATCATACATATAGTAATATGAATATATATTAAAGAAGTTATTTTTAAAAAATGTATCGATTTGTTCAGTGAAGATTTTTTTATACCTGATGTAGGGGCTTGAAAGCTCCGACTTTGAGACTGTGAAGCTTCGCCAGGACCTTTTTGTGTCCTGGACTGCCCTGCGGACTTTTGGCCTCCAATTTGATCTTCTCCAGCGTTTCCTCGTACAACGAGGGCTCGCAGGATCGTAAAACCTCAGTCCATTGGCCATAAAGAAAAAGTAACTTCCTTTTCCTAAAAAAAACGTAAGATAACAATAATAAAATATTTTATTTTATTCTAGTTTAAAGTTAAATAAATTTATTGTACCAATAAAATTTTTTCTTTTGTATTCTGACCTAATTGACTTTAATTAAAACTTACTCTTGATTCGTTATGAATCCCTCGACGCGATGGACGTCCTTGCCGTTCAGAGTGCTTTTAATAAAGCATAACTTCGCCTTTAAATTATCTCCTCCGTGTTGTCTGATCTCTAGAGGGCCTGATTGCTCCATCCACAGTTGGCCCACCAAGACATTGTGAAGGATGCAATTGACATTTTGCCAAGTGTAAGACTCCTTCCATCTGTTCAAATGTAACCATTAACACATGGAGCATTTTTTAGAAAGACTCGAGCTCTAAAGTTCTCAAAATATATTTCAATCTTTCATAGTAATAATCAATTTAAACTCTCTATAAAAGATCTATAAAAGATCTTCTAGTTTTTCAATTTTCAGTAATAATTAAATTAGATGAATATTAAGAAAATATAAGAGATAGTGACAAAAATAATTAACATTAAATAAAGTAAATAACTATATGATATATAAATTAGCTATGATTATAATTATGAACTGACTTGGGTAATTCGACCGTGACAACCCCTTTCGGGTGCACCTCCAGTGATTTCCCCCAGAATTTTAATTTGGGATGGATGCTGCCGTGAAAGATGAAATCCTCGCTGTCAGCGTAAAACGCGGATACTGGTGGATGATGCGAGACCTGTTCGCATATTATCCTGAAGAAGATTCGAATAAAAAATAACTTCCAAGTGTAAAAGGAGAAATAATAATAAATTAGCAAGAAAATATCACAATCATCAATTAATTCACTAGAAATTAAACTAATGAATTAATAAATACGATTTGTAAACCAGTTTATTACCGGAAATCCTTGCGCTGTAATTCATATGTTTCGCCCAAAATTGGATTGAAAGGTTTTCCAAAGCGCTCCCAGTTCGAAGCGAGGGCACTCACAGCGAAAGCCGCGACGTACTGCATAATCATTAATTCGAAATTTCATTTATTAATAGCGCTGGATTATTGATTTATCATCCCGATTAAATTTACAAAGGCAATTTCTCGCGCACCTGAAGCCTCGAGATCGGTGATTCTTGTTGAGCTGCCTGTTTGAGCAATATGGCATATTCCATGTATTCCGCGACGCGTTGCAAGAAAGAGAGGGGCTCGTTAAAGATGACCGGCATGCTGGTCTTGCTGATGTCCTTACCCAGCTGGAGCGTCATTGAGCAGAGATTTACTTCGGAGTGACCCGGAACTGGTAATGATGTTCTTGGAAAGCAAAACGCGCTTTGATAAAACTTGAGTAAAAGAAAAAGATTTTTTTAAAGATGGCGTAATTTTAGTTTACACAAATTTTGTAGAAAAAAAAACGAGGAATTCTCAGATCTCTAAATCTTCGAATATATTTGCAGTTTTTAACATGACTGAAAATTCGAAGATTTGAACAATATTTCCAGACTGATAAATTTGAAGATTTGTCGAAATTTATTGCCTACCTATAACGTCCTGATATCCTTTCGTTGGCCATTGTAAGAGTCTCTCGTGGTTATCGAGCGTCCCGACGACGGTAGGAGCTTCCAATCTGTCGCTCTTGTGAGTCGATACTTCGATCTTCACTAACATTGACCAATAATTATGAAGCTATGATTTATTACAAGGTACGTAAGAATTCGAATTATTTGACCACATTTTTTCAGAGAGTTCGCAAATCCTCTAAAATTCTTAAGCAAATAATTGGAAACTTGATGGATTAGTGGTACACGTTTTTAGATTTTCAGATACCTATACATATATAGTTTCAATCGGAAGCTTTACATAAAATTTTTCTGTTAAGTATTCAAAGATATCAATTCTAAACTCTAATTCGGAATTCTGACAGTCGAATTACTTAGAAATTAGAGCCAGCCAATTCTCGGATTTTCAGAGACCAGTTTCCTTTGAAAACGTATAAGTTCAAATATTTAGCAAAATTCTTTGGAGGATCTATTTCTATTAGCCAAAGAGGATTTTTAAATAGTTCGATCTTTGGAGTCTTGAATCGTCGAATCGTGCTGATGGACCTTTAGATGTTCGTAAGCTCGGGGTCCTTTCGATCTTCCGTGGCGCAAGTGAAACAAGAAGGAGGGGCGGGGGGGGGGTGAGGGAGGCGCGGTATCTAAATGGACCGTCCGGTTCTCCAGAGAGAAAGAGCTTTGTCTCGCTATCTCGGCGACATCCCGGCAATTATTTCGATTAAGTCTGAAGTCAGATAATGTCACTCTCGGAGGATCGTCCGGTACTCGCTGTCACTCGCTCATGGCGGTCGGGAATTTTGGAAGAACGAGATTGTCGGGACCGGAAATCACGGCGCGATTGTTTCAGCCTCGTCTCACGATCAGCTGTATGTACACTTGAAGACTGTTGAGCTTGCGGGCGTGACGGCAAGCTTCCCCTTTGGTTTTGGAGCGAATATCAATAAATCCGAGCATGACCGTTGAGCTCTCGTGGATTTCCGTTGGAACGACCGACCGATTCGTTCGTGAGGAACGACAACCGGGGTAAAGTTTGCAAATTCAAAAGGCTTTCGACTTCTTAAAAATATCTAATGTCTCAAATGTCAATAATAAGTTGAAATGTAATTGGCTTTCAATTTTTTAAATACAATCTTGTAATTTTCTTCTTTTCAAATAAAATGCGCATAACGAATTAATAAATTAATTCTTTTTGGACATTTTGCTATTTTGAAAATAATATAAAATATAAATTATATAAAAAATAAATAAAAATTGTTTTTAATTTTTCAAGATTTAATTTGAGGAATCTAATTTGGAAATTGGTTATTAATAAATTTTGTTTAAGTGTTCTATTTTAAAATAGATAAAAAGATGCTTTTTTGGATAAAATGCGAAAAATTTTTTGCGATTTTATTCTAGCAGCTTATTTAATTTTAAAAAATTCAATTAATACATAATGTCAAGGACTGCGATTTAATATACGTAGTTATATATATACATAAAAATCAATAAATGCGAAGGCGGAAGGGTAAAGTTTCAACAACGTGAACAAACACATATGAAACACCCACGATTGAAAAAGTGGTTGAATCATGCAATCGAGCGGTCTGCGTAGAAAATACGGCATGAATTTAATTAACGCATACCCCATACGCGTATGCAGTGTCGAGACCACAATGCTGCCCTCATCGCGTGCGATCCTCCCGATAAAATTGGCGCAAGACACGAAGAGCATTCACTAAAGAACCATTGAGATTGCAGAGATCTTAACTGATAAAAGATATCTTAAATAAGAGCTTAATTTCCACATCAGACTGTATTCTGAAGTTTAAAACTGCACCTTCACGTTTTTTAATTTTTCTTGCTTGAATTGTGGATTGTGGTAGCTTATTATTAAATAAATCTTTGTACAGAGAGAGAGAGAGCGGATGCTTCGGTAACGCTATAAGTACGGTGAACCCGGGTCAAATGCTGACCCGTTAAAAAAAGCATTGAAATGCGAGAAAACAATTGCTAGTACATTGCTTTTCCATATAAAACGCGCAATTAATTTTTATTATTAAGTCTCGAATAACCTCGAGAGTTAATCCTCGATTTTTTAATTCCAGAATTCTCGAATCCTCAACAATTCTTAAATTGCTTGGACCGTAGGGTTCCTTAGATTTTTAAATCTTTTAACTTTTTAAATTATACTTTGAATTTTTTAGAAACTCAAAATTCGAAGAAGTGATGAATCCGATCCATACGGAGCTTCTTAAAAAATGCTATAATTTTTAATTCCTTATGATAATCTCTTTCTCAATTATAGTTCTTTAAATTCGTGAATTCTTTTTTAACTTTAATCATATGGAGTTATGGATTCTCGATTATCAGATCTGGCGATCGACAAAGTGACGACCGGCGGCGGATTACTTTCTATTTCAACCGGCATTGTAATATTTTACGAGCCGCTCTCGTCTTTATTGTCTGGCATAAAGAGTTCAGTGCTCTGTGGGCGCATCGTCGACGACTCGGAATAAGAATAAGTCGAATCTCTCTATTGATTCACCTGGAAACCAAATCGATATCCGTACGAGGCACAGGCGCTCACTTCGTTACGGATCGGCCAACTTTCCTCGAATCGTCCGTTGAGTTCGTCGCCTATTTGACAAATCTGCCAAATTTTGTGGCCTCGAGAATAATTTTTGTTGCGAAAAGATTACGGTTCTACGAAAAATACTGTGATCTTCTAAAAGTCTTCTATGTGTGAGGAAAGTGCAGAAAAAAAATATGGCATTATGGAACATTAAACGTTAAACATTACGTTAAATAAAACTTATAGTTTAACAATGGATTAATTTAATGCAATCCAGATTAATTTGGAGAAATTTTGGAACCAGGAAAAAGTGCGTGAAAATATTTTTTATCCGTGTAATAGAATTAAGATCAATATTTCGAATTGTTTTAAAAAGTGGCAGGAAGATAACATATTGGATTTCGAGAATGAATAAGAAACATAATAATCCGTCGTTGGAAGATGAGAACTTGGAGATTTCCGAAGACCCTCAAGAGCCGAAGGATTTGTCAAAAGAGGTGGAAGGGAAACCAGTGTTTCGCAAGTACCGCACAAAGCATATGAAGCTATTTCCGGAATTATATCGAAGTGACGTCTCGATTCATCCCAGCTACACCGGTTTGAAAATCTTGCCGTAGTAAGAATTTAATAGATTAATTAAATTATGCAAATTACGCAAATTTATTAGATAAAAATAGGTATATTAAAAAATACATTTTTTAATATCAAAATAAATATAATAACATTTATTATAATAAAGCGTTAATTTTATTAAATCAGATGTTCTGGAAAAATTCACCGAGAGCCTTAAAGAAATCATTAGCTTTTCATAAACTTTGTTTAATTGCATATCGAGTATAGTTTACAATTAATTGCAGAATTAATTGTTTTATTTTTTAAGCCATGTGGTCTGCAGGCATCGCGTGCAAAGGATTAAGCAACAGTCATTTCGGCAGCTAAATCGCGAGATCGCGCATTTCGCCATGAGCCAAATGTTTGCTCTCGATGGTGTAAGGATCGATCGCGTCTTCAGCGTCGGTATGTCGCCGAAGATGCTGATTGTGCTGGATCCGTTGACAGAGAAAGAAAGACGCCGACTGAACGAGCTCATTCGAGATCCTTAAGAAAATCCTTCGCGTGTAATTTTGATGGAAATAGATTTTTTTCATACGTCTTACTTAATGATTTTTCAATTATCCCTTCTTCTAATTTTGTATTTTAATATCTGACTGTAATTATCTCTTGTAATTATGTCAATAAATTTCTAATTATTTACTCCTAAATTATTACTTGTTAAATAATTAAAATTCTTTTGCATTTGAAGAAATTTTACAATCTATTATTTAAGAAATCTAGATTGTTTTTGTTTTATAAAAGTCTTAGATCGGTGTTATAAAAATATTAAATAATTTTAATAGTTGAAGATTAGATACTCTCTTTTTAAAAAGTTTGAAGAATAAGGTATTAATATTTATTTATTAAATATGTTTTTTAATTACAATTTTTGTCCCAAAGATGGGACGTTGTCAATTAATGAGGAAACTCGAAAAACAAAGGAAAGAATCTAGATTGATATTTGTCAAGCTGTAAAGATACTGAGCGAGAAAAAATATTTTTATAAATAAATATATGCAATGTTTCGAAATACTTACCAGGGCGGATTTCTGTCCATTTTGTATAGTTGCGGGTCGGCTCCTTTGGAATTATGGGACATGCATGTTAGTTTTTATCACATTTAATACAGAGTATCATGAAAAGATGTACAGCTATTTATAGTTTTCTAGCCTTCTAAAATAACGCAAATTATAAGGCTTAATTAAAAATTAATGTTATAATATTTCTAATAATAACATAATAGTTGAAAGTGTCGAAATTTATTGTATTGCACCACACACATTTATTTAGGTGAAAAATGGATATATACGAAGAATCACAGATGAAGAGATAAAATCGTTGGCATTGGAAATAGCCGGGACTAATGTGGCTACAACTTATATTTACTGTCCGGCAGATCCGAAGAAGGTGCTGGGTATTAAGCTGCCCTTCCTTATCATCATTATCAAGAATATGAAGAAGTATTTCACGTTCGAGATAACAGTAAGCCCATGCGAATACGTACTTAATAAATAAGGCTTCTAATTTCCTTTCTTAAACGAGATTTTCCGTCCTATTTTAGTGTAAATGTGCAAGTACGCAGATACTCGTTTATCTTAATAAATAAGATCGAATCCCTTTCTTTTTTCTAAATAAGAGATTTTGTGCTTTAAATAAAATTTCTAATTTTTTTTATTTAAATAAAACCTTCAATTTTTCTTCTCAATTAAGTAAAATATCTTATTTCTTTTTCTCTTATTTTAAGTTTCTTTTTTTTAAATAAATCTTATTTTTTCCTAAATTTACATATTGTAATACATATTGTGATCTGTCAAATAGATACTGGACGATAAGAATATGCATAGGAGATTCCGTGTAAGCAATTTTCAGAGCACGACGCGTGTTCGTCCCTTTTGCACATCCATGCCCATCGGGCTTTCAGGTGGATGGAATCAGATTCAATTCAACCTGTGTGATTTTACGCGACGAGCGTATGGCACAAATTACATCGAAACCACTAGAATGCAGATACATGCCAACTGTAGAATCAGACGAATTTACTTCGCCAATAGGCAAGAATCTGATATATGGATTAATTATTAGTTCTCTAATTAATTAACGATTATATTTTGTATCATGTCAATTTATTGATTATCTGCGGTGAATCATAAAATATGTTATTTATTTAATTCATTTTACTTAATTCTTAGTAGATGCCATAAATTTTATTAAATTTTTGGTATGGTGGATCAATGTGAAAAAATTTATTAAGTATATTAAATAATCTACAATTATAACAATCAATGATATGCTCTTTCTTTTTAAGAGAAGTTAAATGTTAAGCAAACGTTTCTTTTAGACTTTATTCAGAAGACGAGATGCCGGAAGATTTTAAACTCTTTTTCCCGGTACATCGGAAGAAGTGTGTTAGAGAGGAAGATGTGCCAAAAAAACCCAGCCTGGTACTTGAAAAAGTACCGTCCATCGTGAAAGAACCGATTATCGAACCGGAAGTGTTAGTAGAAAAGACAATTGAGCCGCCAACAATTACGGAGGAACTAGATTTAATCGAGGAAACAATACCAGAGATGCGTCCGGAAGAAGCGGAAAAGATAATCGTGAAGAAAGATGAAGAACAAGAAAGAGAAAAAGAAGAAAAAGAAGAGGAAAAGGAGGAGGAAGAAGCTGAAGTTGAAGAGACTGTGGTTTTTGACGAAGACGAAGAAGTCGAGCTTACGGACATTATTCACGAAGATGAGAACGAAGAAGAAGCTATAGATATATTAAAATTTGAAGAAGATTACACGGAAAATGAAGCTGATTAAATAAAATATAATTTCAAACAAGAAATATGTGTTTTATAAATCTTGTATTTTATTATTTAGGCTTTGTATATTCTTTTCATATTATTTTAACAAAGAACAGATTATAATTATTACAGAAAATTCAAGAATATGAATAATTAAACGGAAAAGTCTTCAGAATCAAGATTATGACACATCATAGTCGTCATCCTCTCGCTTTCTCTTCAATGACTCGTCGGTCTCCATCTTTACGGTCGGTAATGTCTGATTGGAAGTGATCTGTATTTTTGGCTTCGTTACTTGCGTCTTTACCGCTGTAGTGCTTGTTGTTGCTGCAAAAATATTTACATTACATAGATTACATATTTTGAAATTTAAATAATTAAAAAATTTTTAATATCACACTTAATTTTAAATATAACTAAGTTTAATTTTTTAACTTAATGTTAAGTGAAGAAAATATTCTGATAATACCAGCTGTAACTATGCATATACTTCAGTGTTTATTTTATATTAGAATCTTACTTGTTGGAGTTCTAAAGGAAATACGGAATGGTATGGAGAAATGGGACTGGAATAGGCGGAATGGAGCTGAGGTTAGAAACAGGAAAACGGACACGTTACTTTATATTAAGTAGATAAATTAGCAATAGAATAAAGTGATACATTAGCAAGAAATTAACATAAATATCAAGGGCGTGCACAAGATTTTTCCCAGGGAGGGGCAGGATTCAAAATGTTATTCCTAGAATTAAAATACTTATATAAATACTAGAATTAAAATACTTAATTTAGAAAAGACCAAAACCCATGGTTGAAACGTGACAATTAATCCGACCAAAACCAATGGTCGAATTGTCACGACATTGTCAAATGTTGTCGATTAAAAATAGTTTTTCTTGTAAAATACTTATAATTTGAAATTTATGTTGCACATACTAATATATATGTAAAGTCCCAGGTACAAGACTACAGACAATAGAACATCTACCTAAGTCCTGGGCACGTATTACGGACTTGTTCGGAATGGATTTCGATCGGAATTATTCCGTTTTCCCTAGAAAAGACAATAGAAATCTAGGAAATAACTGAACAATTCCGATCGGAATCCATGCCGAACAAGTCCATAATAGGTCCCCTGGAGGGAGAAGGAACGCATTTAGTTTCAGCAACTTCGCTGGGACACCCTTCTTTCATTCGCTCAATTTATTTCAATCTCATTTGTAGAAAGCAAAAGCAGGCATTGATTAAATAATAAATAAAACTGAGATTTTATTTAATTTTCAAAAAGCAGGCAAAATGAATTCAATTCGAGTAAAGCAGGCATTAAAAAACTAAAATTCTATCAGAAAAAAATGTATTTTTCTATGGATTAGAGATCGGCAAAGTTAGCACAAAAAATTATTTATTAAAAGGAAAAGCAAATGCTTAATTTTTTCTGATTCCAGGGAGGAGACAAATGCCTTTTCTTACCTTTCGTCTCCTCCCTGTAAACGCCTATAATAAATGTAATAAATTTCAATTAGGTAAATAAACGATGTATTACCTGTAGAGAACTTCAAAACAGGTTTTGGTATAGAAATGGTTTGTGTTCTTGCCACAGTGGCAAGTGTGCCAGGCCTTTTAACGATCGACACACCAGTCTTATTTCCTTCTACTTTCGGTCTCAGCTGTCCACCAGATTGATTATTGCCTACCAAAGAATGCGCAGGTTTTTGTACAACTTTCTTCGTCGCATTTCTAAGTTTGTAATTTGTTGCGTTTAAACAATATCGATCCGGTGGTAGTCTGAGGCCATTGCTTGGCTTAACAAAAGGTAGCGGAATGTTGTTTTTAGTTCGTGCCACATCTAATAAAACGTCTCTGGGTGGTGGATTCGTGAACGAACGCTCCAGCTGCATCTTTACTGCCAGTCTGACATCATCCAGGTCAATGAACTTCTTTTTAGCGTGGTTGGCATATACTTTGCTGTCGTCCAATATGCATGTGACATATCCTGTGAGAAAATTCCTTTATATTAAATAAAATTTCAGAAGTTAAACACATTGAGAAATAAATTTATTAAAATAAAAGAGAAAACTTACGATATGTGAATTCCAACAACTGATTGATCACCTTAGGTTCGTAATCTGTTATCCCCATATCCTTCATGATTGACATGATGACTTGAGCATCTTTGGGAATATGTTTTACGTGGCTCATACTTTTCGTTTTTTCCGACATTTCGTGAAATTAAAATAACCGTTACTGTAAAACACCGTGAACTATGCACACAATCATTGCGTGTGACGCTGTGGCAAAACTAAATCTTTTAGGTTATATTTATGCATGGTGACCAGGACGATCCAAAGATGTTTCCCTAATGCATTTCGTTGTACATACATACATACACAATCCCCTATAAATCCCTAACTGACAGAAACAAATCCCTAAATTTTCCCCTAACAGATTATAGCGAATTCGATTGGATCGAAATTGATTATGCGTTGTGCAGAAGTGTGTGCTCTCCGCTTTATGAATAATTTATTTCTTCACAATGGTGAGATGTTGTTTTTGCCAAAGTGTTCAAAACAAAGGATGTGGACGAACATATCATAAGTAAGTAAATTTAATAATCTATACACAGCATTTACGAAATGTAACAACTACAGGTTATGCAGTTTTCGGGTTGATCTATAAGTGTCAATTATTTTCACATTTCATGGAATAGATTAATTGCTAAAGAAAACTAGTCATTCGAATATTTAACATTTTGTTCTAGTCTGTATGATTCATCTTTTACAAGTTTCCTTTATCAGATAAATTCTTATTGGAGCAATGGGTTAACAATATACCATTAAAATGTTGGAAACCTACCAATGAAAGCTTATTGTGTTCAAATCATTTTACTGAGGACTGTTTTAACAGATCTGGATTTAGAGTACATACGCTTGAAGCTTAATAGTGCTCCAACTTGTTTCGGAGATCCCCCGACAGCCTGTATAATGTGTAAGCGCAAATATTTGCATCAATCTCCTTACTCATTCTTCAGGTATATTCTCCAAACGTTGTATTATTTGACATTAGTTCTAGAGCTTTACATTTTATTGATATTTATTCTATATAGGTTTCCCTTGGAAAAAGCAGAACTTCTCAATAAATGGTTGAGAAATATGAATCTGCTAAACTGGAGGCCTGCTCAAACAAGTCGTTTGTGTTCAAATCACTTTGAAGCATTTTGTTTGAGGAAAGTAAAAGAGAAATACTGGGCATTGAAGGAAAATAGTATTCCAACAATATTCACTTCCAGTGACTATAGTTTACCGTATGAAACTCCAGGTAAATTAAACATTGATAATTTTATTATAATTTTTATTCAATTTTCACGTTTTGAAACTGATGATACTGCGTAACATGCAATATAAAAAAAATATAAAATACAACATTGAGAAAAATATAAACTTGAAAAGATAAATGCCAGCGAAACGTCTCCTCTGTAGTTTCTAATTTTTAAATAATTAGAAAGATTAAATCTTTAATCTATGTACGAAGCTCCTCGATCACCTCTCGGAAAGACGATGCTTTTTTCTGCAGCCGATTAAGTTTCCTTTTCTGCAATTTGATGATCTTTTCTTTTTCCTTCAACGTTTGTTCACAAACAAATAATCTACGACGTAGCGTTGTGGGAGAACTTTCATATCGATGATCGTGGTTTACAATTCGCTGGGATTTGCAAACTGGAGATGCTGTTGTAGAGTCGAATTGCATGGACGTTAATTCTGTTCCTGCATCATCTGCAAAATTGTCAACGATTTGTTATGATTTCTTATTTCATATATTTTTTTATTTCTCATGTTTATCATTCATCCTTGAATAGTCCTTACCAGAATTGTGAAGTGTCTTTATAGTTATGTCGCTAACATCATGAGAGCTTTTTCTTCTTACCTCGTCAACAGAAATTGGATTGATTGTTAACACATTGTGCAATTCATGCTGTGGTACTGAGTTTGTTATAATGTTGCTTTCAGTTGAAGGTAAAGTATTTTTCTTAGATGTAAGAAATTCTGCCGAATCCAAGAATTAAAAATTATCTTTTTATTACTACAATCATAATTTCTTTCTATCAGGTGATGCTGGAGCCGTCTGTATAACCGACAAAATTACCATTTTCTATGTTATCGACTATATCTGTTCTTGTATAGACAAAGATATAGACAAGGATAGCACGCTACATTGCACGCACACATACGCACGATGCACATCGACATTATACTTTTATATTACGCTTCTAAATCTTGATTTGGAGGGTTTATGTTTTTCTTGTTGTGCAATTCGGGGGAACTTGTTTTTGCGTTCGTACAATGGTATATCTCTTATATGAAATACATCTTGTGACGAGCTGACAGCTCGCCGCAACTCGAGACGCCATATTGGGATAAAAGTAGGATAAGGAAATCTGTACTTCCGTAATTTTTTCTCGTTTTCTATATAAAATCGGAGTTCCCCCGAATCATTAATGTATGTACTGCAATTCTGGAGAAGGATTTTTAATTCTGTCAAATTAATACGACGCTACGTGCCGACAAAAAATGCCGGTAAAACAGACGGCTCCAGCATCCCCGACTATAGTTGCGTTCAAACATTGGTAAGTTTCTCCTTTTCTTTTTTTCTTCAATCTCTTTTAAAGACATATCGTCATCAAGCAATTAGAGAGTAATAGAGCGTACTACAATCAAGATAGTAATAGAGCTAATAAATACTTATACAAATATTAGATGATGTTAAACGAAGGTTATTTTTAATTGTCATCCTTTATAATTATATCAATCATCTTATAGTCAAGGTTGTCTCAAGTACATCTCGAGATGCTATATGATTGAGATGGTCATTATTATCTGTTAACTTTTCGTACGAAAGCAAGAGCCAAATTATTGATTATTCGTTTATATACATATTTAATAACACAGGAAATCAATTAATAATAATATTAAATGAGCCTACAAAATGCAACCGCATTTTTAAAATAACTTTCTGTTTTTTTTTTTTTTTTACAACAATTGATTCTTTTCATTATTCTACGTATAAAAGTAAAGTCATGAAAATATTTTATGAGATATTTCTAATTTTATATTAAAAATATTATGACAAAATTTAAAACATCTCAGAAAATTTTTGACAAAAGACAGCTTTATTATAGTGTTTGAAAACGTCTCTGCAAGTTCTACAATTTTTATCTCAAGAAAAACATCAAGTTTCATTTAAGAAATTATTTGAAAATGCTTGAAAACGATGACATCTAGCTACGACATGACTCACATCATCTGAATCATGTGTTCCCCTTCAAACCAAACAACTTTTATTTTGAAGGAAACATTTTCTTCTACGATTAAAAATAATAAAGTACTTGAAAAGGGGGGTAAATTAAAATGGAACACTGTATATAATGCGTGCGCTCGTATACAGATGGCCATCAGATCTAGGATTCTCATGAAAGTTTCGGTTTTTGGTTTCCATTTTGGCCGAAATTTAAAAAAAATAGATATTTCGGTCGGACTCTGATTGACATGTCTGATTAAATCTTTTACTAATCTGGTTGACAGACTGTTATCAATTTGCTTACTTGAAAAGTTAATCGACATTGGTAATAATTAATCGTATGGGTCACAACGTATCTCGTGCATTTTGTTGTAAACTATTCGTAGTGTTTCGTGACCAGAAGCGGAAAACTTTGCAGGCGTCGATAGTCACGCAGGTCGCAGCGAAGAACCCAGAACAACGGCCTGAACGATCTCGTGACGGTGAGCCTGCGGGCCCTGCGGTCGACATCAGGGGATCGATTATGTATCTTTTCCCTTAGGTAAAAGAGATAGTTACATAAAACTTTTCACTTTTCACGTTTTTGCTCTAGGGAAAAAGTTACATGATCGCTACCCAGATTGCCAGATCGAACGTGGGTTGCGTAGTCTAGAGGTCGCGCTTGGCCCGGCGATCTTAGAGACCCTCGGGGTCTCTAGGCGATCTGAGACAACGGCCAATCTCCGGCGACGTCCGATTGTTGCTCGCCGGCGCAGCGCGGCGCCGCGGCCGCCTACACTGTCGACGTACGAACATTGCCGTAGCGCAATATTTTCACGTAAGGCGTAAGACGCTACAGTAATGTTCATGCACTGGCCCTAATGAGTCCTTATGTTGATTTGTAGTTTTTTATTGAATAAGAAATGTTATCACCGAACATTCTTTATAGATCGATTACACATGAAATCATCTCAATATTTTCCTCGGATATATAGCGAAATACGATAGCAGCTAGCTAGGGTATTCGCATATAATCGGCCAATAACTGTGAAATAATATATATTTGATTAATCGTTTGTTTGTTAGATGTTTATAGAAAATTGTGAGGGACTGCCTGAAACTGCTTTAAAGATATCTTTGATATAAACGATTTTGAGATGATTTAATTTCTCCCGAAAATAATTGTATGTAATTGAAGGATTAAATAATGTTTAATAATGTTAGTCATATTTATGTGAATTATTTCAGTTGACTTATTGTTAAAATGTATTATAAGGAAGTATTTTTAAACAGGCCATTGAAATTTACTTTATTTGTTACAACGATCGAGAAAGAAATATTGTGCTTATATATATGTATATATTTATTATGGATCTATCACTGACGTTTTGTCAGTTGTAAAGATATATGTTAAAATACGACTAATTTGTTTTACATAAGACTTTCCTTTTAGATTTAAATTTATTAAGATTTTTCGGCGTAAAATTATTAAACTACTTTATCAATGCGGTAAATTTTTCGAATACAGAAATTGAAATTATTCTAATTATAAGATTTGTACGTTTCAACTACACACTTCTCCAACATTTCAGTTTTTTCTTTGAGTATGCACCTGCCTTGTTTTAAAATGTAAAGAGTGGATAATTCATATGTTTTTCAAGAACTATAATCGAACTATGTACATAGAATGTTCACAATAAAATTTTCTTGTTTTATATCTTCATTGAATAACGTCAAGATATTTTTCTTGTCAGTTGGTTGTAAATTGCAAATAAATGTCTCAAATTTCTTGAGCATAACTTATTGTTATTAATCTAATGATGTTAGACATGTATTACGATGGTTAACTGCTAGTATATATAAATATCTCCTATCTTATATTATTGATACTGGCGTTGGTATTTATATAAAACTACAACAATTTAATTGGCATAGGATAACATATAAATATTATCCTAGTGAATGAAGTAGATAAATGAGGGATGTATACCGAATAGTCTTCAGGAGTATTCAACTAGCCAGTCACAGATCTAACGATATCCTGCTGTAGGCGACGGAGATAAAGGCGTAGACGAAGGATAGCCTGGTGTTGCCGACGGATATCCTGGGGTAGCCGAGGGATAACTTGGTGTCACAGAGGGATATCCCGATGTGGAAGAAGGAGAACTCACAGTTGGGCCAGCAGGACTGTAGTTTATTGATGTAGAAGGAATGGAGACGGAAGGTTGGCTCGGAAAGTTTTGTTGTTCGGGGAATGTTCCACTGGACGCGCTAGCACTAGCCGAACTTGAGGCTGTCGCAAAACTTGAGCCACCAGCTGGACCGCTCAACTTTACCACACCCGTCGG